GGATAAGCACCTGGCTCCTGCCATCGGATCAGCGCGGTGCGCCAGCTGCAGTGCGCCGGCTGTGGCGGCCATTGGAGGGTGAACCAATGGCAAAGGAAGACCTTTCTGTCTGTCTCTCTCTCTCTCACTGTCCACTCTGCCTGTCAAAAAATAAAAAAAAAATTAAAAAAAGTAAAGACAGATTCTTGCTGAATCAACCACTCTCCCATTAATCATCCTTGACAACCGACCCAGTTCCTCAGCCCCCATCCATCATATCTGATCACCACTGCCCACCTTGAGCAAGACTGCTGTTAAGTCAGTTTAACAAGAATCCCTCCACCCTTGACATCTCCTCTTAGTAATTTTCCATCCACTGACACCCTCCGTCTGCTCCTTGGCTGAATTTCCACAGTTATCCTTGTTGTATTCAGAATTGAACTCTTTACCCTAGTAGCATAGCACTGAATGGAACCTGTCTTTCCTGCCTTTAACGCGTATCTGACTCTGTTTCTCTCTGACATGTGCCAATTTCTCAATCAATCCATTAACGATTTTTTTCTTCACATTATTATCTTGAAAATTTTTCTGATTTATATGACATTTCAAAGAATAAGGGATCATGTATTTATGAACTGAAATTATCTTGTAACTCCTCACTATCCTGATTCTCAATCTGAAGTAGAGGGGGCCTATGACTGTAGATTGGTAAATATTTTCCAAATCTGTTTATACATGGAGTATTAAGTTGGACTTATTCATTCACAAATGCATGTTTACATTCATACATTCCTCAAAATTGTAATTACATAATAATGCTAATATTTAGCCTGTTTTCTTGTTTAATATTATTCATATCAATTATTAATCATGTTTCATTTGAGTGAATTTCATAGTTTTAAAAGATTTATATGTTTGAAATGTAGAGTGACAGAAAAAAAGAGGAAATGCGGGAGGGGAGAAGGAAGAGGGAGAGAATCAATGCCCACAAAAACCAGTGCTAGAGCCGGTGCCGTGGCTCACTAGGCTAATCCTTCACCTTGCGGTGCTGGCACACCGGGTTCTAGTCCCGGTCGGGGCACCGGATTCTGTCCCGGTTGCCCCTCTTCTAGGCCAGCTCTCTGCTGTGGCCCGGGAGTGCAGTGGAGGATGGCCCAAGTACTTGGGCCCTGCACCCCATGGGAGACCAGGAGAAGCACCTGGCTCCTGCCATCGGATCAGCACGGTGCGGGGATCAGCACGGTGCACTGGTCACGGCGGCCATTGGAGGGTGAACCAACAGCAAAGGAAGACCTTTCTGTCTGTCTCTCTCTCTCACTGTCCACTCTGCCTGTCAAAAAATTAAAAAATAAAAAAAATAAAAAAAACAGTGCTAGGCCAATCTGAAACTACGAACTTGTTTCCTAGGTCTCTGACATACAGCTCAATCTAGGTGTCCGACATGGGTGATAGGAACTCAAGTATTTGTGGCATTCCCCCTGCTGCCTCCTAGGGGTGCATCAGCAAAAGTTCAAATCAGAAGAAGTGCTAAGACTTGAAGCCAGGCATTCAGAATTTTGTTTGCTATTTCCTTTACATTTTCCAGGTCTCCATTTTCTATTCTGTTTCTGGAATGGGTTAGAATTAATTTCATTTTTGGAACATTCTTCTACCTTGCCCTAAATTAAAAAAATTCCACTTATTGCAAGACTTTAGTAAAGTGTGCATGAGGAAATTGCCCACAGTCCATCATTCTCAGTTCTATTCTGTTTCTTCAGGTGGCATCTGATTGACTCCAGACAAGCTCTTGCACCCCTTTAGGCCTCAGAAACTTCAGAAGTTTGTTGATCCTGAGATTTGAGTCTCCCTGAGGAATATATGGAGAAAAAAATGTAACAAGTATTGTACCTGGACTACAGTAGAAACTCTGTGTTCTCTGGGCTGGCAGCATAAAGAAATACAATGTAATGTAACCAACACAGAGCCTGGGACACAGAGGTCCCTATATTGGTTGCAACAAGTATGTGGGTCCCAAGCTTTCTGACTCTAATTGGCTTCTTTTGCAGGTGTGGCTCAGTTGCAAAGGGATCTGTGATAGGATGGTAGCAAACTCGGACCAGTAAGAACAGAACGTTATGTTTTCTCTGCCCTGCCTGGGACTCTCCTCTCTATGCCCTTGGAGATGGAATTTCCTGTAAGGACTCCATCTTGTTTGTGTGGAACTGACAAAGTGGTTTGGCGCCTACACTCAGCAGTTCCTCAGCAGTGCTTCTCACTCTTCTCCAAACCTTTAGCTCCAGAGCACCCAGTCTCCTCAACAGAGCCTGTGGGGACATCAGTGACAGGTAACTGCCTTCAGGACATGCAATGGGTGAGTTGGTCAACAAGAGCCCTTAGTCTCAGGTCTCTATAGGACAGGTGGGATTTTGGGGTCTCCTATCCACAGGAAACACAGCTTACTTCTCTTTAGTGGGGGATGGCAAAGTCCCATTCTGATTGTTTTCCACTCTTTAGATGACAAAGGGAAAATGGACCTTGAGACTACTTGTCATGATTCCTTATGGAAAACCTCCCCTCTTATGGTATGGCTGAAGTGGAATTGTCCACCAGTTGAGGGGAAAGTTCTGGATCATGTGCTCTCCTCAGGCCCAGGGTTTGAGGTATGGGGAGGTTACCTGGGGCAAGGGTTGGTAGAAATTAACATTCTTATTCATAATTGAGATGAGAGAAGGACAGCAAAGCCACTAATATTCTTGAATCTTCATACCAGTCATTCAGGGTAGATTGTATTACCCTCACAGAAGTTCCTTGAGACATGCTTTATGACCCAGCAAATGACCTATTCTGGAATGTTCCGTGTGAAGTTTTCTGTGTCACTTAAGTAAATTTGTTACTCATGTGTTTGTCTCCTCCATGTAGCTGAATTTTTATTGTCAGTTTTACCTGTTACTCTGAATTGTGTTAATGTTTTCCACAGTGACTGTGAATTCATATATTTCTCCATTTATTTCAGTTTCTGTTTTGTATATTCTGACTTTATATTAAAGCATATATACTTTTCTTAATATCTTTATGAGTAAAACTTTTATCTTTATGAAATCTCCCTCTTTCCGCAAATATTTTTTTTTGACAGCCAGAGTGGACAGTGAGAGAGAGAGACAGAGAGAAAGGTCTTCCTTTGCCGTTGGTTCACCCTCCAATGGCCGCCAGGGCTGGCGTGCTGCGGCCAGCGCACCATGCTGATCCGATGGCAGGAGCCAGGTACTTCTCCTGGTCTCCCATGGTGTGCAGGGCCCTAGCACTTGGGCCATCCTCCACTGCCTTCCCAGGCCACAGCAGAGAGCTGGCCTGGAAGAGGGGCAACCGGGACAGAATCTGGCGCCCCGACCGGGAATAGAACCCGGTGTGCTGGCGCCGCAAGGTGGAGGATTAGCCTAGTGAGCCGCGGTGCCGGCCTCCGCAAATATTTTTAAAGTGTATTTTTTTTTCTCTTAATAATATGATTATACAAGCCATCAGTTAGTTATTATGTAAATAGTATATGTTTTGGTATTTCGTTTTAAAACATTTTAAAAAGATTTATTTATTTGAAAGGAAAAATTGTAGAGATGGGGGGTCAGAGAGATGGACATTCCATCTACTAGTTCACTCCCCCAGGTGGCTGCAACTGCCAGGGCTGGACCAGACCAAAACTAGGAGCAAGGAGCTTCTTCCAGGTCTCCCATCTGAATGGCAGGGGCTCAAGCACTTGAGTCATTTTCTGCTGCTTCTCTCAGGTCATTAGCAGGGAGCTGGATCAGATATGGAGCCTCTAGGATATGAACCAGCACCCATATGGGATACCAACTCCACAGGCTATGGCTTAACCCGCTACACCACAGCACCAGCCCCACATTTTAAAATATTTTTAACTGAAACATGATAATTGTAAATATTTGTGGGATTCCTGCTTTTTGATATTTTAGTACATGTATACAATGGGTAATGATCAGATTTGAGTTATTGTTATATTCATCACCTCTTTGTGCTGGAAATATTTAAAGTCCTCTCTCTTCTAGCTGTTTTGAAATATATAATTAGTTGTTGTCAATCATAGTTAACGCTACTGTGCCATAGAACAGTGGAAGTTACCTCTGCTATCCAACTGCACTCCTGCATCAATTGGTACTTGGTATATGTTGTTCTCAATTTAAGGACACAATCGCCAAATTAATTCCCAACGAAGAAGACCAGGATGCTTGCATTTTTACCACAGAAGATTGCTTAATTGCCCTGAGATGGTTCGTTCTGGCATGTATCTTTCATCCCAGCAGCAGCAAGAAGGAAATCCAGCAACAAGTGATGCCCAGGTGGATTCACAAATAAGATAGTAAGTGACCAGTCAACATGGTTGGAATGTACCAGTCAGTGAAATGGATAAACCTGTAGTTAAATATGTCATTCGTCTCTCCAACTTGGCAGAGTGTGGGCTGATGAGACCATATTAATGATTGAACACATTTTATTGTATCCCTGGTATCAGCGTGACACATGTGTATAAAAGACTTTCTGAGCATATATGACTACTTGCTTTTCTCCACTTTCCCACAGCGCTCCCTATGCCATTTCATCCTATCGTCGGAGAGGTAGTTTTCGTAAACAATACCAAACTCGTGGTAAGATGGAGAAAGAACAAAATCTTCCAGAGAGAAGAATGGAGGGGACACAGGGTGGGATTTCGAGCAACTGGTTCAAGATCACAGTGAGTGCACTGGCAAAATGGATCTAATATTCAGAAAAGGGAAAGCAGGAGGAGTTGTGTGAAACTTGGGTAGAAATACTAGGGGCATGCCTGGGTCCAGAGAAGTTGGTAATCTGTCATTTCATGATTATGAATTAACATCATACACATTTTGAGAGATGATTTAAAGGTAACAGGTGGACTACAGGGATAATGGAAGGAGATAATGCAGAGATAATGTAAAAGCAAAAGAGGATGCCTCATTTTTATTTAAACTGCGTGTATCTGTGTGTGGGGCGGAGATTGATTCTCTGGGGTCCTTATGAAAAGAACATGCCAGATCTCGCTTAGGTAAGATCTCTTGAGACTTTACAAAATAAATTCATGTTAAATATCTGAAGTTGATTATTTGAAGGAAGTTAATAGAGTGGAAAGAAAGGGTATTTAAGAACTATCCATGTGTGATATCATGAAAGTTAGAAATAATGAATGTTATCGGGGTTTTTTTTTATGTTGTCTTATCTTAGCATTTATCAAAAAGCCTGCAAACAGACTTTTGGGTCTCATTTTAAACTTTAATTCCATTATGTCAGTCTCCTATCCCATTCTTTTGCTCCTAGATTCCATTTGGCATAAAATATAATGAGCAGTGGCTATTGGACTTGATTCAGAGACAGTGCAGTATCCCATTCAGGCCGGTTGAGGTAAGAGAAGACAGTGAGGTAGATGAGAAGCAACAGGACAGAAGAAGGGCCAGATGAGCAAGGACTCTGGCCTCATGTTATATTTCTCTCATCCCTTTCTCTGTAGTTTCACTATGATAAAATGCAAGCCCACTTCTTTGTTGAGAATTCCTGTATTGCCTCTGCTTTGAAGAATATCAGTGGCAAGATTTGGGACGAGAATCACGAAGGGGTAATGTGGCAAGGGCATGAGCTGGGCTGGCTAAGGGCAAGAAGTCAGGGCTGGGGTCAGGCCTTGCTTGATCTTGAGGCTCAGAGTTCCTGGTGCACATTCAGCCCCTCATATTTTCTCTGCAGATATCAATCTTCGTCACTCCCTCTGAGGTACCCCGCTCTGTGCAGGAGGAGTTGAAATTGGAAAAAGTGGAACAGATTAAGGTAATGAGGATTCAAGACAAGTTATACACACACAACCAGACCCGTCTGTCCCTTCTCCTCCTAGTATCCCTGTCACCACTTCACTCTCAGAGCTTCTGAATATCATTTCTACCTCTGCAGCTGACTACAAACATACAAGGTGATGCCTCCCAGCAACCTGCTGACATCAAGAACCTCAGCTCTGACCCAGGTATGGCTAACAGCAGTAGTTCCAGGTTAGATGAGCACAGAGTGGTCTGCTTAGGAGGGAGACATAGGGATTATAACTTAGACAGGGTTTGATGTCACCAGTGTACCATCTGGGCCCCTCTCAGTCTTTTGACTTTCTCTTCTTATCCTTCCTGGAGACTTGATGGCCCATAATATTGAAATGGCATCAAATCCTAGAATGTGCGAGGCTTCCTCCCTGCAAATCCATGAAGAGAACATGCCCAAGGTGAGGCCTTGGTTTGAGGGTGAGGTGGGAGAAATTAGCTGGAAGGCAGATTTGTCTTAGAAAACCTGTCTTGACGTCCTCTTTAAAACTCTTTATTCATCATAGGTTTTGACTTTGGACCCGAGTCACAATCCAACCTATCTGCTGGTTGGCCGGCCTGGCACTGCACAAAAGGCTACAAACATCAATAATGTGAATATCTCCAAAACTGAGGTGAGGTGTGATACTCATGTTGCTCTGTGAGCAGAAAGAAGGGCTCATCAGAGTGGTGGCAGGAGACAACAGGGAAATGGATTTGTAGGCAAGGGAGGGACCATGGATGTAGGTCCACTGCTTGTCTTTCCCACCCATGTTGTTCCTTCCCATAATTACAGGTGAAGTCTTTGGGGAAGACGGACAAGGAGAAAGGGCTGGATCCAGAAAAAATGCGTATGGACAGAAACCCCCAGGGTGCCACCTGCCCGGATAAGTCCAGCAACATAAAGTCAGTTGAACCCTCTGTCACCCCCTGGTTGTTTGAGCAGCCCCTGACAGTGCCACTTGCAGGAGGCAGGCCAGGTCCTCTGGGAAGACCATGAGTTAGTCTCTCTCTCTCTCTCTCTCTCTCTCTCTCTCTCTCTCTCCCCCCCTCCCTCCCTCCCTCCTCTTCTTCTGACCTGCTCTCCTTTCCATCTGGTCGGGTGTGTTTCTCCTGTCTGTACATCTGGCTGCCTCCAGCACACCCTCCCGTAGTTGTGTTCCGGGAAGCAGGGCTCCCTGTCCTCACCAGGGACAGAGATGCTGGAGACATGGACTCTGGTGGGTCCTCCAACCCAGGGCCTCGTGCTGACTCAGGCTTCCTGTCCTTGGACTGAGACGGGGCTGGCTTCCCTCCCCTGTCCTGAGAGGGGCCCTCCTTCCCCTGCTCCAGAGAGGTCCTCCCTGCCTGTTCCAGGCTGACACAGGAGCTTTCATGCCTGACACTAAAGGCTGAGGCTCCAGGTGGCTGGCAGCAGGACGTCTGTTCCTCTGGTGCAGTGCCGGAAACCGGGCTGTCCTTCAGGATGAACTCAGGTTCCTTGAGTCAAAGGGTCAGATGCTGGCCAGCTGCAGTAAGAAAGGACTTCTCAGGGCACAGGTTGGAGGTCAAGGGCAGTGGAGGGTGAAGTTGAGAAGGACAGGCCTGTCCAGAGCACCACTCCTCCCTTCTTCCTCACCACGTCCTCCAGGGGATCCCTAGGAGCCCATGATGGGTCCCCTTCCTAGGGTAAGGCACCAACGACTCAAGTACAGCTGCATGGGGATCTGGAGGAGAGAACACGGTGATCCTGAGAAGGTTCCAGGACCCTCTACCCTGTGCTGACCTGGGCCCTGACCCCTCACTGCTTGTGAGGAAGGTCTTCTGTGGCTACTCTATTAGCCACGCTCAGCTCAGACTGGCCTCATACAGGTGACAAAGGCTCAACCTGCCTCCAGGGCCTCCAGCCCAAAAGGTGCCTGTTTTCTTGCCTATCTTGGGCCTTCAGGTCCACCCAGCATTAGCTGAAGAGAAGGGCTACAGCAGGGAAGCCACTCTCTGCTCTCTTCCTCCCTGACCCCCACTACCATGGTCAAGTCTCTTCCTCTTCTCTTTGCTTCCTCTCCCTCCCTTGTCTCTACTCTCCTACATCTCCCCCACCTCTCCCTGGCCTACCTTCCTTCCCTCCCTTTCTCTGATCGTCCCTATGCCTTCCTCTTCCTGCCACCAGAGCCCTGCCTCACTCCCTTCCCTGACCCAGCCGCCTCCTGGGCCATCCCTGGGGGATGAGCTGGTCTTGTCCAGTCCATGCTTGACAGAATGGTGGACACTCTGAGAAGTAGCAGAGACCTGGGCTCTCATTCCATTTTCTGCTCCCTGTGGAGCTTCCCAAAGTGACTTGGCAGAAAGTAAGAGAGGCTGGAGAAGGAGGAAGTCTGAGCTCCTAATGGGGCTTCTTGTGGACTGGAAGAAGGGGGTCAAGGCAGCATATGTGGGAGCTACCCAGGGGATAGGAAAGGGAGGAGAAGGAAAGGGAGAGGCAGAGGGGAGAGAGGGAGAGACAAAATGAATGAATGAATGAATGAATGAGGGGGGAACATCTCTTTCAGTCCACAGGGGAGTGGCCCAGGGCCTTGAAGGGGTGGAGTCAGTGGAGTATAGGTGAGACACTGGATTGTGTCTCTGGTATAGGTGTGCTTGCTACTACGAGGCAGGGCAGCTCTACAGTTTTTCTTTTGTCTGTTTTATTTTGGTTTCTGGCAGCTCTATCCTAGAATTGTTCCCCAAGTTATTAAGCCTGGTAAGTGTGTTCCTTGATTATTGACACCCCTAATTGGCACTGACACTGCCTCCAATTGCCCACAAAACCTTTAGCTCCAGCCACAATTAAGTTTCTGGATCTGATCTTTAAACCTGAAGGGAGTGGTGGGCGGGAGCAGGAATAAAGACTCATATGCAAACTTGACAAAGGCTGTAGTGTTTCTTCACACACGGAATCTGCATGACAACCCTGACTGAAGTCTTGCCCATGTAATTTCCAGCTCCTGTTCACCTCTGCCCTCTGATATCACCCTCTACTGGGTTCCTCATCCTTTTATCTAACCACCCAGAACCATCTCCCTGCTCTGCTTTGTTGACTTCCTCTTGCTTTCCCCAGGATGGCCCAAAGTCACCTGGAACCCTCTGTGGCACGGAAGCAAACAAGATGTTACCAACTAGCAAGGTGAGGGGGAAGGATAAGTGGGGTTTTAGGTAGTGAAAGAGGAAGGGTGAGACCTCTTGGTCCTGAGCACTCTTTTGATTCCAGGGAAGCTTCTTCGGATCTGAGATACTGAAGAACGTGATCCTGCAGTTTCTGCAGCAGTAAGTACTCCTGGTATCATGAGGAGGGGGAGGCCTGGGACAGGCTGGGCCACTCAAGGCCAGGTCTGTTTTATGCCATTTTTTTTCATATTTCATTTGAGGTCTGACCACAGAGGTAGCTTGTGCTCATTGCCCCCCCCACAGGTATTACTTGTTCTATGACTATGGAGATCGCTGTAGTCTTCTTGGTGCTTACCATGATGAGGCCTGCTTCTCCCTGACCGTTCCCTTCAACTCCATGGATCTGATCCCGTGAGTGCTGCAGTTTAGACTTCATCTGGGGCCATGTAGCTGCCAGGAAGGCACAGGTCAGCTCCTGCAAACAGCAACACTGCCTAGATCACTGCTTAGTGTTCCTTGTCACCCCCTAGGAGCAGTCTGTGTGAGTATTTGAAGAACAGCAGGAATATCAAGAATGTCACGGACCGCCGTAAGTGTGTGATAGGGGACATTGGGTAAGAGGGTATAGAGGGGACAGTTGCAGGTTCCCAGAGACAGAGTGTGGCAGTTAACGACCTTCTCTTCTCCTTGTACACAGACCTGCGAAGGCAACTGCTGCAACACACAAACCATGCCATTGTGGATGTCCTCCGTGTGTTACCCAAAACTCAGCATGACTTCAGCTCCTTCTTGGTGGACATGTGGTTCCAGACGGTGAGCATCTGCTTCCTCCATCAAGAGGGCCCCAGGAAGCTGGAGCTGGATGAGAGGTAAAGGGGGATCCTGAGTGTCCGAATTCTTCTCTTTCAGGAAACTATGCTCTGCTTTTCTGTCAACGGGGTGTTCAAGGAAGGTGAGTGTAGAGTCACCTCAGAGGCCCCACCACTCCCTTCTTCCAACTGGCCTGCCCCTCAGAACTCACCCAGCCTCCCACAATCTGTTCCCTTTCTTCCTGTTCTGTGTGTGTGTGTGTGTGTGTGTTTGTGTGTGTATTCTCCTGCCTGCATTCTGCTCAAAAGCCATCCTAGTCCACACTATGTCCATGCCTTACTTCCCTGCACAGCTCGAGCATCAGGGACACAGGCTGTGGAGCTTGATGACACCATGTCAGGTGCTTACACTGTGACCTTGGGCCAGTTCTCTCACCCCTCGTTTCTTCATATGCAAAATGGGGCTGTACTAGCCATTTCTTGGAATCAAGTGACATTGTCAGGTGGTTTGTCACACGGGCGCCCTATCCCCAGGAGTGCATTTTTCCTGTTGCCCTCCCTGTTCCTGCCATGCTGTCCTGACCCCAAGTGAGCAACTGTCTCAGGCTGAACCCTTTCAGCATAAGACCCTGACTGGGAATGCTATGTGAGCAGACAGAGCAGGTGCAACCCTACAGCGGTATTTTTGTTTGTTGTCTTTGAAGTGGAAGGAGATTCTCAGGGATGTGTTTGGGCTTTCACTCGGACCTTCATCACTATCCCTACCAGCAATTCCAGGTAAGTGCTGTGTTGTGGATGCTACATAGGAACGTCCTTTCTTGCCGGGACCTATCAATGTGGGAATGTGGCAGTGAAGTCCTAAGAGTATCCCCAATATAGTCAGAAACCAACAGTGTAGGCTAGTGGTTATTGACAGAAATAATCAGGCTCTATAAAAAGGTTAACATAAGGTTTATTCAGTGCAGAATATGAATGACCTAGGCCTAGGAGACACAAACTTATTCACTTTCAAGGAATCTTGGAAAGTGTTCCAAAGTTGTCAAACCTAAGTGAAATTTTATGTATTCCATGACAGTAAATTTTCCTTAATCATTATAGAGGGAACATACAGTGGGATGTAGGTAGGTGGGGAAAAATTTCTTATAGTTTGGTGATAACTATTTTTAGCATATAATTGGTTGCAAACAGCTTTAGAGACAGGGTATGTTGTAAGAAAGCTACTCCTTGATTTTAAAAAGGACATTTCTGGGAATAGATACAAAAGAAATGTATAGATAAAGAACAAAAGATTGTGCAATGTTGTTCCAGATAGTTAGCTTGAAAACAGACCCCATGATGTACATTACTTAAATCAAATTGACCTGGTCAACAAGATTAACAACTGAAAAGACACTCCTCAGATAAGTGTCAGCAGATGTTTCTCTTTAATAGCTTGTAAAATTCTTTTCTTCAAGGGGCAATCTGTTCTCATTTTCTCATAATGCTTACATATCTGTAGTTTGTGCATATCTTTACCAACAACAATGTGTTTGAATTCTTTATCTATCGTCATTTGGAACTTGTGATAGACCTTATTAAAGATTTCTAGTACTGTTATTAAGTCTTGATTCTGTAATTTTCATTTTTCTTATGCCCAAGCCATTTTCATTGGAATAACATCATGGGGAGAATGCAACTTTAGTCCAACGAGGGTCTGGTCTATTATATCTAAGTTGTTATAGTACTTATTGGAATAGGGTGTTTCTAATTTTCCAAATATCATATTATTACACCAACTACTGGTTTTATTGTGAATACATGAAGTTTTTGTTGTGAACAAAATCAGAAAGGTTGGCAGTATCATTTTGAAGTCTTTCCCATCACAAATGGTCCTTTCCCATGTGTCAAATACTATTATTGATTTGTTGATAATAAAGATCACGTCTGTGAAAAGTCTAGATTCCAATTAGTCTGGGGGAATTACCAATTGTTTTCTCTTTTTCACACACACACACACACACACACACAGAGAGAGAGAGAGAGAGAGAGAGTCAAAGAATCTTGTTTTGTAATATAGCCCTTTGGTTACCCATAAAAAGTATCCTGGTATTATTTATTATAGCTCCTATACCAGGTAACTGGACAATGGAGTATTATGTGGCATTACTTAGTATGAAAATATGAATCTTTACAATGTCTTGTATTACATTTTCTGTCTAAAATTTTCCATAAATTAGGGCTCCATATTTTTCTTAAGTTGCTGAAATGTGCTTCAGCACTAGACCATTGCCTCATTATTGCTGATTGCATTTGTAATAACATGGGTAAAAGTCTGTTGGAACAGCATGCAGGCTCATTCTCAAAACTGAATTTGTGACACGGTTTCTATACTTTGTTGATTCTTCCCTATACATTTAATTAGAGCAGTAGTATCCTTAAGTAACTTTCCATTCTTATTCACCTCCCTAAAAGAGCATTCCTTCTATTTGCCTTATTACTGACAGGGAGAGTTTTTCTAATGAGTATCTGTCTTCATTGACTGAAAGTTCAACTTCTTTAAGTATCTCTAGTTCTGTGCCTATCTACACCAAAATGGTCCCTCTTCACCTTTTAAAGGGGAAGTTCTGGTTTATCCATCAGGAGTGTTGTTTTCATGGTGTAATACCAGCATTTGTGTGATTTTAGTAAGTTATCTCCATCCAGAATCTTCGAGATCACAAATCAGGGTCAAATGAGTAGCTTTAACTCCAAGATATGCAATAGTTTGCATGGCCCATAAGGCTTCCCAAACTCTCCCTGATCTGAAATCTTAATTAATTAATCTTAATTAATTCTCATAAATTGATCTGCGAGAGAGGTTTCAATATTTTTGCAGTTAAAGAAGAGTACCCTTTCACATTTGCAAGAGAGGTCATTGTTGCTATGATAATCTACACATGAGGCAGCTTTCTCCCATCATATACCAGTAACTTTTGGAGTTTTTCATCATCAACATAATTGCTAACACAATGTTCTAGTTGATTTTATCTTTCTAAAATTTCTCCTGTTGGTTGTTGAGCAATCAATCTTATAAAATGTTAAATCATAGAATGGATTTATGATAAAGACATCCTGGGAAAGAGTTTCCTCAGAATAAATTTGTAGTCTCTTGATTCCATCTGAAGGCTTTTATTGTATCTGCTTCTAAGTCAACCCAAATGACACAAGTCTCACCCACTGGAAAGTGGTTGAAGTCTGCAAATTCCTATTGATAATTGATAATGTGGAGTAAGATTGATGTATCTGGCAAGCAGAGTATTAGCCAAAGGGAATATTCTAAGCAGGAGTATATGCTAAAGTTTAAATACAATTCTAACCCTTATCATAAGCAAGTAAGGACATGTACCGAAGATAATGTTAAATATCCCAAGGGAGTTCTTCCACAGGTAAATTAAGATTTTCAAGGTCAGTGGAGATGTAATGTAACAATACATATGTCAAAAGCAAAGTGAATTCTGGAGTCATCAGTCTCCTTTGGTCATTTTAATATAATTGAGGATGAATATTGGTGACAACTTCAGAAGTCCACATTACATTGATTTAGGGATCAACAGGTGCATGCTTGAGGTGTGAAATGTGTATCCAACAGTTGACTTCTTTCAGTTTGGCAGCACAATAGTTATTAAGAAGTACTTGGTAGTATCCCTTCTCATGAGGCTATAGAGAGTACTTTAATTTTTGTGAGACTTATACCAGTTAATTATAATTATGTTCTTCCAACTACATATTTGGTTCAAATTAATGGTGAAATATAAAGATAAAACTTCATTTATTACAAAGTTATTTTTCTTTATAAAACATTAAATAAATATATGGACACAGCACAAGCTAACATTAAATTTTTTTCAGTTTGATCTGTAAACACTTACATTTATTACCTTAAGGGTGATGTCAAGACTTCCACTTCAAAGAACTATGGATTAATTGTGGTTATATTTATTCTTGTTCTTAAAGCAATTTATATCAGACAAAATATATTGAAAAATAATTTTCACATATGCATAATTATCTCTGAGAGATGAGAAACAAATGAAATAACTAATTACTCTAGTTTACAGCCTGAACAGAATTCCCAAGCCACAGTTCATGAAAGTAAGTTTCAGGCAGAGCTCAGTAGTCTCCCTAAGCTTAGAATATTCCAGATAAATATAAAATTAATACTTGTAGTTCTACAGAAGCAATAAATTTGTAAATTGAAAATTGGAAAACATAATTTGCAATCACATTAAGCATATGATATACTAAAGAATATGCATAATAGTATGTGGAAGGCCTGTAAACTTAAAAGTTACAAAATATGACTTGCAGAAATTAAAAATACCTAAACAAATGAAGAAATATCGTGTTCAAAGACTAGAATATGTAGTATTTTTAAGATACTAGTTCTATCCATTTTGAGCTACATTGTAAACACAATCCCATGGTTTTTATTTAATAATTCCAGTGTAATTCTAGCATCTAAATGGAAATGCAAAAAAATGCCTGTAGAATGTCTAAACCAAATTTGAAAAGGAAATACAAATGTGGAGGATTTAGACAACCAAATTTCAAGGTCAATTAGCATTTATAATTAAAACAAGATGGTACTGGCATAAAAGTGGAAAAAGAGATCTATGTAAATTATTTTAATGGTACCACTGGTTCATTCCACAAAGTGCAGAGGACTGGGGATGGTTTGCAAAATACAAATGTTGGATTATAGGAAAGATTATACATATATATTAAACAATTTCTCTGGTAAAGTGAATCCAACAATCATCATGGAGCTTGGAAGGGATTCCTCATATTGAAATTATTTTTCCCCTGTAAAAGTGAATTGGACACTATGAGAAACAATGACTTTATCAGCCCTTGTCCTGACTGTCGAGGAACAACTTACTATTTTATTCCTTTTAGTATTTTTTTTGTTCTACTTAATAGCATTGGTTGAACTCTTTAATTAACACACAATTATTATTAGGTGTTTAAATTTAACTTAAAAGTGATCCCTGTTAAATATAAGAGTGGGAATAAGAGAAGGAGGAGATGTACTGTTTGGCACATGCTCACTCAGACTTACCCCTAATGGTAGAGCTAGAAATGTGCCAGGAGATTCCAATTCAATCCCATCAAAGTGGCATGTACTAATGCCATCTCACTAGTCAAAGTGATCAATTTCAGTTCATAATTGATCATAATGATAGGATTAAGTGTCAAAGGGATCACATAAACAAGACTAGTGTCTGCTAATGCTAACTGATACAATTAAAAAGGAGAGAACGATCCAACATGGGAAGCGAGATACACAGCAGACTCATAGAATGGCAGATGTCCTAAACAGCACTCTGGCCTCAGAATCAGCCCTTAAGGCATTCAGATCCAGCTAAAAAGCCCATTAGAGTTTCTCAGGCATGGAAAGCCAAGACACGCTGGCAAAAAAAAAAAAAAAAAAAAAAAAAAAAAAAAACCTAAATGAAAGGTCTCTGTGAGTGAGATCCCAGCGGAAAGAACAGACCATCAAAGAAGGAGGTACCTTGCTCTGAAGGGAGGAGAGAACTTCCACTTTGACTATGGCCTTGCCTAAATAAGATCGGAGTTTGTGAACTCAAGAGGCTTCCATAGCCTTGGCAGCTCATGACAAGAGCCTCGGGTGATTACTGACGTCATAAATAAGATTGTCAATTGTTAAATCAACAATGGGAGTCACTGTGCATCTACTCCTCACGCAGGATCTTTGTCCTTAATGTGTTGTACTATGAGAATTAGCGGTAAAACTACTA